TGCAATAATAGGACTAGAGTAATGGTGCACTCTTTCAGCTTTGATTGTAACATAATCTCAAATGCATGCTTCCTTAACAAGCATCAACCATCATTCAGTAAGTAGGTTTGTTGTCATTCTGACCAATGTTTATAAAATCCTAGCAAGAGTATGTCAGGCACAGTTCATCTTGGTACAGCTTGTGTGTTTTATCCAGCAGCTGCAAGTAATACTTTGACTGCATCAGTAATTTCCAAGTGAAATCAATAATGAGATGCCAAACGTCCATCCTGCTCTTCACGCAGAACATGATTGGATACTGCTTGACGCATGCTCTGACGTGCCTTGTTACATACTTGTCCATTTGTCAACAAACTTTCAAATATGTCCAAATATCCTTCATATGAGTGTTACAATTGCTATCCTAATGCCCTTAACTATTATTTATTTTCTAATTTAATAATCAAAAATGCACCTGGATGCATAGAGTGAAAGAGATGCGCAGCATAGAAACAGACCCTTTTGTCCATCTCATCCATGCCGACCAGATATCCTAAATTAATCTAGTCTTATTTGCCAGCATTTGGCCCATCTGCTTCTAAACCCTTCCTATTCGTATACCCATCCAGATGCCTTTTAAATGTTGTAATTGTACCAGCCTCCACCACTTCCCTTGGCACCATATATATGCACCACTCTCCATGTGAAAAAGTTGCCCCATAGCTCCCTTTTAAATCTTTCCTCTCTCACCTTAAACCTACCCCTTCTAGTTTTGGACTCTCCCACCTTATCTATGCCTCTCATGGTTTTATAAACTGCTGTAAGGTTACTCCTCAGCCTCTGATGCTCCAGGGAAAGTAGCCTCAGCCTATTCAGCCTCTCCCTGTAGCTCTAACCCTCCAGTTCTGCCAACATCCTTGTAGATCTTTTCTGAACCCTTTCAAGTTTAGCAACATCCTTCCTTTAGCAGGGAGACCAGAATTGAACGCAGTTTTCCAGAAGTGATTCCAAAGGAATTCATTCCAACAGAAGGCTGTGGAGGCCAGGTCATTGAGTATATTTAAGACTGAGAAAGATAGGTTCTTGATTGTCAAAGGGATCAAGGGTTACGGGGAGAAAGCGGGAGAATGGGGTTGTGAAACATATCAGCCATGATTGAATGGTGGAGCAGACTTGACTGGCTGAATGACCTAATTTCTGTTCCGAAGTCTTATGGTCTAAGTGGCCTAACTAATGTCCTGTACAGGTGCAACGTAACTTCCCAACTCTTACACTCCATGCATTGACCAATGAAGACAAGTGTACCAAACGCTTTCTTCACTATCCTGTCTATCTGCGACTCCACTTTTCAAGGAACTATGAACCTGCACCCCAAGGTCTCTTTGTTCAGCAACACTCTCCAGACCTTGCTATTAAGTGTATAAGACCTGCCCTATCAAAATGTAGCACTTCTCATTTACCTAAATTAAACTCCATTTGCCACTTCTTGGCTCATCTGATCAAGATCCTGTTGTACTCTGAGGTAACCTTCTTCACTGTTCATATGTCACCAATTTTGGTGTCATCTGCAAACTGCAGTTTCGCAGTTACCCACAAGGGTGCCATGCAGTAGAATTACGATATTTGCAAGCTTTTGTTTCAGTACATCATGGTGCTTCACTTAAAGCTGGTGTACTTGGTCACCGCCTTTGTGCCCTCCAACACAGCATGCTTGGAAAACTCTCCAGGTAGTATCAGGTTCATGACAGTCTCGATCTTGCGGGAACTGATAGTGTTGCATTTATTGGAATGGGCTAGGCAGGAAGACACCCCCACGAAGCACTCAAACATTGTTGATGAACGAGTTCATAATGCTTATGACCTTGGAGGAGATAAGTGTTAGGGTGAACCTGCTTCATCACTTTGTAGCTGTAGATGAAATGACCATCTTTACTGGACTTTCTCTTCTTGCAGATCTTCGCTGGTGGCCTCTTCACTGCTTTCTTAGCGCCTTTCTTGGCAACTTTCCTCAACCATGGTGACTGTCAACTTCAGACACAGATTTTCTGCTGATTATTCTCCCAAGTAAAACTAGAATTCTGAGCTCTAACCTGAATATCGATTAACCTTTGAATGAACTCACTTGATGTTTGTTTAATATAAAATAGCTTTGGGGCTCTTGTGGCTCAATGATTGTGTTCCTGGGTTCAAATACAATCTGCTGCAGAGGTATGCAATAATATCTCTATAAACAGGTTGAACAGAAAATATCTATAAAATTGCTTTAAGGGGACATCTTGCAGCAGATGTATTGTGTTTCACAATCTCTGATTTACAGTAACCACTATAGGAGTAAATTGTATATCTAATACATATTTCCTATTCACTGTATTTCTCTATACTCAAATTTCTCTCAAATAATTATTAGTAAAATAGACCAGACTAGCTTTGAGCACCTTCTTTAAAAAGCATTTTATAGAATTTTCTCTAATTTTAGCAACTCCTGAGTTTTATGATTAAGACCCCATTAAAATTAAGTTAACTTTTTTTCTTTCTTACATCTTTCAAGAATGGTCAAATCTGATGACTCCACTGGATCTCATTTTACAGAAGTTACTCCACCTAATACCTTGAGGGAGCGGAATTAACTATCGTTATTACAGTTGTTTGTGGGAGCTGACTTCATGTTCAATTGAAACAGCATGGCTTAAACTGTTTCCACAGATACTAATAACTTTTGTCGTACCTTTCATCTCATGATCTACTCTCTTCAATTGCCACAATTATGTCATCAGTCATTACTTAATGCACATTATAAACTTCCACAAAATAGGTGTCTTTGTTGTCAGTGTTGCTGTTTATCTTCGACCAGGATTACAAGTTATCGAAGGATCATTTTCAGTTGATCTAAAAATGTGCGAGACTACATTAGTAAAAACTGAAAGAACTGCGGATGCTGTAAATCAAGAACAAAACACAGAAGTTGCTGGAAAAGCTCAGCAGGTCTGGCAGCATCTGTGAAGAAAAAACTCAGTTGATATTTCAGGTCCGGTGACCCTTCCTCATACTACATTGATTCCTGGATATATTCTGTTTTAATATGATTGTGGCATATATGATAATGGAATTACCTTGTATTGCAGGTATCAATTGACAAAATATGGAAGCCAGTTCCTTTAAAGTCTTCGGACAGGTTATTTGTGAGTTTTGAAGAAGTGTCACTGGGCCTGAAACTTTAAGTCTGTTTTCTTTTCATGATGCTGCCAGATCTGTTGAGTTTCTGCAGCAATTTCTGTTTGTGTTTCAGATTTCTAGCATCTGCAGCTCTTTGCTTTAGTTTATTCCTGTTATTTTCTGATTGAGATTGGACATAGCAATAATCCATTTTATTATCTGTGTGTAGTCAGATTAACTATTATTTGAAAGTTGTTGTACAATACAATCTGCTAACATAGTGAGTCAGTTGATCTGGTATTTGACATTTTAATGGGTAGTACTGTCTTAAATCAAAGGTTTAAACTGTTCCCCTCGTGTAATATAAAAGCACCTGTTACTACTGGATACCTGCTGCTTTTTGGCATTTTATTAGATTTTTGTGCAATCTTCTTCTCTGGATGTGTAAAAAGGACAATACCAGAGCAACAGAAATTTGTACAGTGCCCCTGAGCTTTAGAAAATTGGCCATAGTGTATATTGGATGAGCGATCTGCTACTGACATTTTTTGAACTACTTCTAAAATTGACAGCTCTGTTTGTTTTTGCAGAACGGGAATACATTTTGCTGGCAGTTTACATAAATTATTTAAATCAAGTGTGTTAGATGAAAATTTTAAAATATACTTTTATTAGCCAATATTCTGCTACTAAGGCTGTCTGCCCGCATGTAGTTCCTAAAAGCATAAACATCTGGCTTTAGTGCAACCACTGGGCTAAAATTTGCAATAGATGTTTAAATTTTTCATACTTTTCAGGGGTTTTTGAATTCCATGAAAATGTTACTGTATGTTCTTGGCATGCTTGTAGAAACATAAATCCATATATAAACTGCAGTTATACAGCCTTTAACCTCCTTGGACACTTTGCAAAGCTTTCTCCTTCAGGTTGGTGAATCTCCAGTTGGGTTGCAGTGCGTTATATCACCGATATCTTGTATTGATTGTGTATTAGTTTTATATTAATCACCTTGAATGTTACAATGGTCTCTTACCAATACAATAGTATGTGTCAAGGTGTTGTAACTTGTTTTGTAGAAAATTCAGGTTTATAAATATTGGAGAATTTCAGATCTTTAGGGAGAATTTTTAGGACTTTGTATCTCAAATGGCTCCAAATGGCCTAAACACTTAACATAAACTGAGTTACACTTGAAGTACAATTGCTGATTTATCAGTAAATGAAACAGGAGCCATATTGAGAAAAGCAAAGTCCCACAAGCTGCAGTAAGTATTCGTCTTGGAATAGTACAAGTTTATTTTTCTCATTGGAACAGCTGCTTGGAGTCTTGTTAAATATCTTACCTGAAGGATAGCACCTTTGGCATTGTTACCTTGTTTTGAAAAGCACAGTGCAGAAATGCTAGCCTGCATTATGTGCTAGAATGGGCTTGAATCTACAGTTAGACTTGACTGAAAATAACTTGGACTAAATTGACACTGATATAAGTTTAAATTACGGTCAGGGCGTAGAAGAGTTATGGCAACTGAGAATTTTTCTTGTACTTGAAGATTAATTCTATGTCTCAGCCATTTATTGCTTATTGTTTTTGCAACTTAAAGAATTGTAGAAAGCAACAGGAAATAAATTTGTAAATTTAACCCTGGATAAATTGGGATAATTGGTTCAAATACAAATAAATGTACTAATTACACACACTTCTTTCTGAAATAGAATCCAGTATGTTTCATAGCCATGTTTATTTTATAGAAATCGAAAAGATTATGCACTTTTATTGTATATTAGTGAAGTCGACAAATCTTATATAACACAATGGAAGCCATAAGAAACATGGATGCTGTAGCTTATTTGTTTTGTTTCTCTTTCAGATACCGAGCCAGATGATTCTGCATCATTTCACATCTTTAATGAAGGCAACCTTCAATCAAGTATAAACCAACCAATAGGCATTCTTCACCATGAAACACAGACACATCCAACAGCATTTTCATCACCTCATCGGCTGCAGACCTCTAATATCCAGGAGTCTAAATACAGTCCTGTAGGTGCTCCAAAAGCATTTGAATGCCCTAGTATTCAAATCACCTCTATTTCTCCCAGTTGTCAACAAGGAATTGGTCCTAATGAAGAAGTGCATGCAAATGGCACAGATAATGACTATATGGAAAGACCATCCAGGGACCATCTGTACCTTCCTCTTGATCCAGTTTATTATAGGGATGCATCACTAAGCCCAAGTCCTGCTAGCAGCATTTCCTCCAGGAGCTGGTTTTCGGATGCTTCTTCATGTGAATCTTTCTCTCATGTATATGATGATGTAGACTCTGAATTGAATGAAGCTGCTGCTCGTTTTACACTTGGTTCTCCTAGTGGGTCACCGAGATGTTGCCCAGCAGATGAGACCTGGCAGCCAAATTATTCATTTGCACAATCACTATCACCTAGACAGTCACCCTGCCATTCACCTAGAGCTAGTATTACTGATGAAAACTGGCTCAGCCCTCGTCCAACTTCAAGACCATCTTCTAGGCCTACTTCTCCTTGGGGAAAGCGGCGGCATTCAAGTGCAGAGATCTGTTATGCAGGTTCACTTTCACCCCATCATTCACCAACACCATCTCCAGGACATTCCCCAAGAGGAAGTGTCACAGAGGATACGTGGCTTGGTAATACTGCTCTTCAAGGTGCCTCAAGTCTAAGTCCTGGGCTGATACCTTTTCAGTGTTGTCCCCCAGAGACTGACATACCTTTAAAATCAAGGAAAACTTCTCAGGACCAGGCTGCTACAGTGTCAGGAAAAGTAGATTTGACTTCGGATGATCAAGGAAGTTTGTCCCCTTCAGTTGAATCTCCAGTCGATGATCTTTCTGGCTCTCCACATCCATTAAAAAAAGACTTGTCAAGTGAACAGTTTCTTTCTGTTCCTTCACATTTCACTTGGAACAAACCAAAACCTGGTGGCCATACACCTATTTTTCGGTAAGTTAGTACTTGTTTTAGGATGCTGCCTTAAGGAACTTTTTTGCTAAAAAGTAGTGGGGAATAAAAATGAAGCTTCTGCTGAGCTAAAGTCACCTCATCCTGGGTGTAGTTTTAATCATGAATTCTTGTTTTGTAATGCACGTTATCACTGTCACAGTCCAAATTACTGATTTGATTGCTGGAAAGGATGAAAGTTTCTTGAAATATTGCACACTGCCCTCTTTACAAATGCCATAGCCAAAAGTAAAATTAAATTAGCACTGTGAATGTAATTTGTCTAAAATTTCTTGTAGTTTTGTGTATTTTTTTAAGAAAAAAACAACTACTGGCCAAACATTGATGGCATTGGTTTGATCAGAATAAAAATGTGGTAAGCTTTTAAATTGTCAGTGTAATTCCGGTAATACAAATTGATGGCGTATGGTCAGTATTTGAAATTCTTCTACCTAAAAGCCAAGAAACGTATTTGGAATGTAAACAATGCAGGGTCATGTTTAAAAATAAGTAAATTTGCTACAATAGTCATGCACATCTCAAAATGAAGAGGGTTCTTGTGTACCTTGGCTCAAGTATAGATCTTATTGTGTTAAAGAACACATTTTTTATCTACAAACAGCAGTAATTGTTGGGCGTACATCTTAAAATGGAGGGATAACTGACCTTGCTTGCTTCCAGTATTTTACTATCCACAAATGTCTGCAAATTCAAAAACCTGTGGCTGGCATCTTTACACTTACCATTCTGTTCTTCCATCACCCTGAATTTAGTGATTTGTTATTGCTCCTGGCTCCGCAATATCTCATGTTTCAAATTCTTTGTTCTGTTCAAATCCTGCCATGGCAACAATTATCTGTAACCACTCCCAGCCCAACAACTCTGTGAAGTCTGTTTCTGCTGTTCTGCCCTTTAACAATTTCTAGAGTTCCTTCATTCCAACCTTGGTGACTGTGCCCTCAACTCCTTAGGCCTCAGTCTGTAGAATTACCTTCTGTCTTCTCTTCCTTTTTAGTACAGTCTTTAAAACCTAACTCTTTGACCAAGCTTTTGGAAATCTCAAACTCTTCTGAAAAATGTGGAGCTCAGGCTAGCTGAAAATTTCCAGATTAATATTGTTTTTTATTTTGTTAGGCAAGCGATTTAATGGCAATGGGACAGATTAGCCAGGATCCACTTGAATGTCCAAGGAGGTTTGAATTGCAGATGTTACTGTTTTCATTTCCTATCCTAATATTTTTTATGCTGATCAATGTTTTAGTCTGCCAGTTGATGCCCCTGTGAAGCACATGGAGATTTTGATTACACTGAAGGCGCTATATGAATACAAGTGGATATTGCTGTCACTTGATCTTTAAGACTGATTTCCCACAAGTTGATATTGAGACTGAGACTTATCTTGATCTATGTTAACAATCTATTGTTACAATTTATTAAGTTGCAGATGGCTCAAAACTTTAAAGAATTATTAACTGTGAGGAGAATAGTGATAACCTTTACGAAGATGTAGTCTGGTGGAATGGTTGGACACATGGTTGATGAAAGTTAATGCAGAGAAGTGTGGTGTGATACATTTTGGCAGGAAGGTTGAACAGAAGCAGCATATAGCAAAAGATACAATTCTAAAGGCAGTTCTAGACCCAAGACTACATAGACATGATTTTGCGTGCATTGAATAAGAACTAGTAACATTAACCAATAAGTGGTATGAAAGATAGGAGTTTACAAATTTGGAAATCAATTTCAAGTGAGTTTTATCAATTTTATGCGTGGGTTCAAATTTGAATTGGAAATTGAATGAAAATCTTTTATGTTGCCTATAAAGATCTTAACATAAATAGTGTTTGATTAGACTTGGACTGATTCCAATTGGTCCTACAATTCAACATATATTATTAATAAAAGGATTGGTATTGATAGAAATGGAATTCGTGCTGGTACAGCAGGATTGCACAGGGATGTGCTTTCTTCTGAAATTAGAAGGTGAGGTCACTGCACTTGGTGCACAAGTGAAAAAATAACTTTAAAAATAGAAGACTGCTAAAGGTGTATGAGTCGTATTTTCAGCATTTTCACTATTGGTGTACACCAATCATTTTAATAGATGGATTATTGGAAGAATCATATACCCAAATCCCTTCAACTTCTGTTCTTTTATGGGATGTGGGCATCACTGGCAAGGTCAAGTTTTGTTGCCCAACCCTAATTTCCCTTGAATTGTGTGGCCTGCTAGGCCACTGCAGAGGGCAGATAAGAGTCAGCCATATTGCTGTTGGTCTGGAGTCACATGTAGACCAGACCAGTTAAGAATACCACATTTCCTTTCCTAAAGGATATTAGAAATGAAATGCTAAATACAAAGATCCATTGTCAAATATTTAGCTAAGGTATAATGGCAAATTTTGATAACAGTTATAACCAGTCTCCTCTACTAGTCAACCCATTCTGTGATAGAAGCACCTTTAAACAACCAGCTTCCCAATATGCACCAGGGTAGGTGAAGCTTTCCTTCACGAAGTTCTTTGTCAAATGAACCCAATGGATGTGTTAAAAGCTAATCTCTTTCCCCGTGCCAACTCTGCCAAAAAAAAAGAAAATATGCAAAAGCAGTAACATTTTGATTGGAAATTGCAAATAGTGCTGTTCTTAAGAAATGTCGTTTACTCTGGAATTTCTCACTAAGATTTTGACTGGGATAAAGTGTGAAGAGTTTGTATAACTTCATTCGTGTTAAACTTTGAATTAATTGTCTGGTCACAGCTATTCTTGTGATGGTGTTTATGTAATATTGATTCCCTGCAGAAATGGAATCTCTTTGGTATAACAATTTTTGAAAAACTGGTGTATATTTTATTTGAAATGAAACTGAAGTTATGGAGTGAAAATGCAAGTAGGTATACAAATAAAGGAAAATATAAATGAGTGATTTCCATTTTGTGCTGTCAGAATGTCTGCTGAGGACCTTTTGGTGTGGAAGTGGCATATTGTCTTCTAAGAGAGTAATTAATTGGAAAATATAGCAGTAACACAAATCCTTTTATTCTACTACTGAACATCAGAATTCTCCAACTTCCGCACTGCTGCAGACGAGTCGTCTGGCAACTTGTACTGCACCAGATTGCAAATATTGCTCAATATCCTGTTGCTTTTAACAGAGCGCCTGAGATTGCAGGTGGTTTGCTTCTCTCTGTTAAATAGGAATTTCAGTTGTGCTTTTAGAACATGTGACTCCATCTTCCACCTGACATTGGAGCCTGTGACCTTCAAAGCAAAATATGGGTCTGTTGAAGGAAGGAGTAAATGCACTCACTCTTATTCCTCTTCCCCCACCCCCTCCAATCTCGTACTGAGACAAATTGGTGGTCAGGTGGATAGAGATTTCTGCAAAGGAAAATTTGTGGCTGAAAGAGATCAAGCCCCATTTCAGCCATTTTAGTCATCTTTTATTGGCTAATAAATAAAGATGTTTAAAGAGAAAAAATACAGAAATGGCCTCTGAACTTTTTCAGGGTGACTGCAACAAACTTGGGACAATCCTGGAGGGTTGGCAAACCTCGATCATACTTTAAATCTTATTGATGGGATGGAGGCACAGATTTCAACCCGTAGTCCTGCTTTTAAAAGTGGTACACAGATTATGTTGATTCTCCTGAGGACTGCCTTACAGCGTTCTTCATTGACACCAGTGGAGAATATTTTGATGGTACAGCTGCAGAATATGTAAGATATTCGATGTGAAGTAATTAGACTCTCCATAAGTTTATAACTTCTAGCTCTAATTATTTCAGAAAAAAAAATTACTTTTGCAATGACTGGAGATTTTAAAACAAGTCACAGCATAGTCCCAGTGCTTGCAGCTGGCTTGCTTAGACTTGTCGCATAAGATGCAGCAGCAAAATTGGAGACTAGAGTGGTAACAAAAGTAATATTTGTTATGTTGGTTGTTTGAAACAGCTGTGACAATGCAGAGTTCAACTCAGACCTCTGTGTACACTCAAAGCAAATTTCCTCTTGAGTAGTAGAGATCCTTAAGTCAAATTTAAAACAAAGACTTCAATGTATACAGTGTTGACTCAAGCCTCAAAAAGCCTTGAATCTAAAAATACTAGGCTTGTTATAGCCTTAGTCCCTTGGTATTTTTTTCAGCGTTTGCTACTTGCTGAAATTGTTCAAGGGAATGTTGGTTAGTCTTTTGGGAAATAATCAACAGAACAGCAACTAAAATAAACTTAAGTGAAGGTTAAATAATTTAGATTGTGGGGTCAGAAGAAATCGTATTTACAAAATCAGATACTTGGGAACAAAGTGCTGAATTGGCAAATTCTGACACAATCTCCTGAACGTAGTAGTTAAGTTACAATGTAGTTTTGCGTTAATATGTATTTTTAGTGTTGAAATGCTTGGTCTTTGCATTTTAATTGATTAGAAGGCTGTTTTGATGTCTTGACATTGCAAAATAACAACATAGTTTGCTGGTTGTAAGAGAAGTATTTTAACAGGAAAGGATCAACAGTTAATTTTTAAAAGTTTATTCAGGGCATGTGGGCTTTGCTGGCTATGACAGCATTTATTGCCCATCTGTAATTGCCCTTGAGAATGCGGTAGTGAGCTACCATCTTGAACTGCTGCCATCTGCTTTTGTGTAAGTACACCTGCAATGGCATTAGGAACAGGATTCCAGGATTTTGACCAGGGACAGTGAAGGAACAGTGATATATTTCCAAGTCAGGATTGTGAGTGACTTAGGGAGGAACTTGTCAGCAGATAAGCAGATAAAGATGTTTGCATGTATCTGCTGCCCTTGTCCTTCTGGGTGGTAGTGATCGTGAGTTCAGAAAGTTCTGTCTAAGGAGATTTGGGGAATTTCTGCAATGTATCTTGTAGATGATGCACATTGCTGCTACGGAGTGTCGGTGGTGAAGGGAATGAATGTTTGTGGATGTGACTCCAGTCAAATGGGCTGCTTTACCCAGGATCGTGTCAAGTGTCTTTTGTGTCCTGGC